GATTTGTACTGCTAAGAGATGAGTTACAGGATGCCAGAACACAGGAATGCACAAAATGAAAACTTCTTCCAAGAAAACTAAAGCTCTGCTCAATGAAGCCAAGTAATTAAATGAAACAAACCAACTTGGTGATGAAAATGCCAACCAAACGGCTTTACTCTTTGTCAAAGCTATAACCTCTCTCTTGACCAGGTTATGCTATACAAGCATTCACAGCACACATCCTGCTTTCTGCTCCATCACATTTCCCATCTCCAAATCCTTTTGCCACAAGAAGAGCCCCACAGCTCCCTGGTCTGATGCCTCCCTCACAGTCTGTGGCTGGTGTGGGCCCTTTGCCCTTGCATGAGCAGCCCTGGAGCAGGAAGCACCTGGGTGTTCCCCACGTGCAGGGCAGGTGGAAGAGGGGCTGCTGCTGCTGTAAGTGAAAACGCAGAATTAGCCGGCATCCTGGCTCCTGGTGGGAAAGTGTTTTATTAATCAAAAAAATACTTTCTACCCTGTGGTGTCTTACAGACCTTTACACTTGCATCTGTGAAAATCAGAGCAATTCTTCTGTCTTTCTCATAACAAAGTTAAAATACAGAAACTCTTTTTAAACCTAGATGATTATTTTTTTAAAAAGGAAGGGAGATAAGTCCAACATGAGTAGAAATACTCTCTCAGTTCAGTGCAGGGTGGTACAGACAAGACCATGGCAGAACTTCCATCTCCTTAGGGTAAGGCTGCATTCCCTATGCATTTTGGGGCAGCTGGAGTGGCTGAGATTTGCTTGATTAAAGTTATTGTCATACGGCACCAGCTTCTTCAAATTCTATTCTAGACTACAGGAGGAGGATGAAGACAAGAAATGCTGGGCATGTCATAATCCTAATTCCCCCAAACATGTTGAAATGGAAGCGGACAGAGCGATGACTGGGAAGGAGATTGGAAATACGACACGGAGCTCATGAAATGCAAGTCTTCAGGTTTGGGGAACCAGAGCCAAAAGCTACTGTGCGTACTGTTATCCACAGCATTCATAACACATTTCCAGTTTTACTATTAATATAATTCATTTCATCTCAGAAGAAAACTTTTTCTTCTGAAATATCCTTACTATAATTCATGAAATTATATATAATAATGCAACACTTTGCATTGCAGAGGATAACACACTAATTCCTCCTGCAGGGATGGAATTCCTTGCCAGGAGACCTAGAAAACTAAGCCCTGAACTTCTCCTAGCAATTATTAAAAAACAAACAAGAATGGCACACTGGAATTTGTAAGACTATTACATGTAAAGAAGGATTTAGAAATCAAACACACGGAGAAGATGGGAAATGGGGTTACAGGAGATATTTAAAGGACGACAGAAATGTTACTGACAGGAAAAAGCTGAAGACTCTGCAATAGCAACAACATCTTATCTTATAGGATGCATAAGCCATGCTCAGGAAGGCAAGAAGAAGGATAAGAAAGTGGGACAGAGAGACTGAAACATAATGTGGGAATTGAAATTAGACGAAGGTTTATTTGGACAAGAAATTGATTCTGTAAAAGATCAAAATCTAATGATTGGATTCAAGGATGAAGATAATGTGAGATTTTGCTTGCAATCTAACCAATCATCCTGACCTGTGACATCTAGCCTTCGGATAGGATAGGATAGGATAGGATAGGATAGGATAGGATAGGATAGGATAGGATAGGATAGGATAGGATAGGATAGGATAGGAAATGTGTGTATGTGTGGAACCTTGGCTGCTTTGCCCACAGCATAATCATGAATTCACTTCCTCTTGTATCCAGAATTTCAGAGGCCATTAAAACAATTTCCAAATTTTACTAGCAATTTTTCCTCCCTGAAACAGATGACAGCCTGAGAGTAAGGAGGGGTGCTACTTACTGACATATAAACACTTAACAATGAAATCTTCATATCATGGCACAGAGCATTTATGCATACAAATAGCAAGAAATATCTATAGAGATAGAATGGAATAAGCACTGGCATGACAGTCTCCAATAGCACCTCACCCCTTCAGAAGAAAAAGGCAATTTTCAAACTACATACACTTTGACAAGCACAGCTTTTTAAATACCTGGGAAGTAAAGGAGTGGTAAATCAAAACAAAAAGCTTCATGTCCACAAAACAGTAGTGTCACATCTGTTAGCTGCACACACACACAGAAAAAAAAAAAAAAAAAAAAAAGGAAAGATGGGACAAAAATTCCCCCGAGACCCCAAGCTTTTAAGTACCTCATTTGCATTAATGACTTCATGAGTTCAAACATGTGCTCTTTTTTTAATGTTGGATAATTACTGTTATGGTTATCAAAACGTCATTTAGTGAACCCAGCATATCATGTTGAAAATAAAGATAATATTAGAAGCAGATAATTTAACCTGACATATGAAGACTTGCTCTCATTCATAGAAATGAAAATTTCTCAGCAGCATGTTTAGTACATAACACTGCAAACATGTGGACAAAGTTCAGTTTAGAAGAAACATCTATAGGAACCCATGCCAAAACGTACCTAAAGTGTTCTCGCAGATCTATTATTTAGTAAAATTATTGCTGCTAGATTTCATATCTTGCTGTTCAGAATCCACACCAACTTGTGTCAACACGCGTGCTCCCACCAGAAGCAACAAGGCTGTCTGAGGACTGACTTCAACCAGCAAGGAGATGCCTGGAAGCCCCCATCACCTTAATACACTGCATAATCAGCTTCATTATGGGTCTCTTCCTTATCATACACATCAAAGCTTACATCAATGCCACCTTTTAGACACCTTTAACGTGGCAGTTGAGTCCTGGTAACACAGCAGCCCTAAGATAGGAGTCATGCTCTGGTTACACCAGGCCTGTCCAGCACCGATGGAGAATGAACGTGGGTGGGTCACACCAGCAGTGCCTGCTGGATGAACAAAAAGCAGCAGGTGACATGGCAATCTGCATTCATCAGCTGCCCTGTGGGCTACAGTGGGCCGTAAGTCAGAGCCCTACAGTGAAACAGGAATTATTAGGGCTAGAAAACATCCCTTTGAACTGCTGGCAGGTTTTGACAGAAGATCACTCTGTGCTTGCCTTGTTTCCCCAAGCCACCGTGAGAGAGAGGAAATCAGGGGGTACGACCCCAGGGTGTAGCTCATTACAGATTCAGGTATTCAAATAAGTTTCTGGTCCGTTATTAAAAGAGAGTTACTCTGTGTGAATTGCTCCTTTAGCAATTTGCATAGTAATTCCAGCATTCCCAAACCCTCAGCAGTTCCTACAGAAAAAGAAAGGAAAAAGAAAAGGCCTTTCACAAACATGAGACGTGTGCCCTTACTGTAAAATTGCCCCACTCACCACTGATAGGTAAAAACAGTGGAGAAAGCTAAACTGAAAGACTAAAATGGCAAATTTGGCAGGTGTTTGGAAAATAAAACATGGAAGAAAGATTGGGGAATGCCAGAAGATCTTTTGAAAGGTGCTGATGCCTGGTTTTGGCAAAGGCATCAGCACCTAGATGCAAGCACTAGAGGAAGGAAGAGTGCTTATTATGAGTACTTGAGTTGATTTCTAACTAGAATAACTCACCCCCTCAAACTTGTCTGGGTCACCGAAAAAAGCATATCCTTCAGGGTTGCTTGAGTCTGACATTGATAATTCAAATAGATGACAGCACCTGCATCTGGGAAACATACATCATTGCAAGAAAATTAAGAGGAAAGAACTGTACAGGCATTTAACGTGCATTTAAAACCATGTGAATGTTCTATCAAATAATACAAGGGATACCTCACACTTAGCATGATTAGGATCTGTGTGAGTCAAGGTTTACAGTCTTGTGCCCAAGCCAGCCAGACATCAAAAGCCTGTGACTAGACCAGGGGGAGGGAAAAAAAAAAAAAAAAAGGTAGCCCTACTGCAAGCTCTATTTTCTTCCAGTGAATAGCTCACGTTGAATCATCTGCTTGGGCCAGATAATGCCTGCACAAGTTGTAAGATAATGAGCTAAGCTCCCCAAATGGAAGGCGCAAACCTTTGCAGTGCATTGGGAAAACAGTAGAAATGAATGAAATGGGGGTTTGTTGCCTCCCACACCAGCCACACAGAAGCTGGTCTGTTTTGAGAAGGCACGGCGCCTTTGAGCGTGGGGTGCCCTGCCCACAACACTGGTCACCTGCTGGGAGCTGGCATTGAATTGGGTTACATTATAATTGGATTTTCCGAAGGCACTGCATTAGCATTTTCCATGATCTCACCCTTATTAGCCAAATCGCTAATCAGGAGTAGCGCAGTTACCCTGTTTGCTAGTTAAGCAATCTGCTGCTGTAGTGTCTGTAAGCCAACTTGAAATTCTCACAGCGATAAAAACTCCTCTCTGTCTTTCTAACAGTCTTGGGAGTGTGTTCTGTGGCTAATGTTGCAGTCAAACTCCAATTTTCAATAGCTCATGAAAAAGCAATGTCTCTCCAGAGATCAGTTCACTTGGTGCCTTGCTTCCTGATTCCTTACTATAAGATAGGAAAACTTTTCTTTTCTTTGATCAACACAGGCAGAAGTAGCATTGCTGTAAAAATTAACTGCACAAAAATCCTTTCCCATGGACTCTTCCTCACTGTGTCCAAATTCAAATGCTGAACATGTTTAATCCTGTCAGGTTATTATTTTAATGCCTTTGCAAGCTGATGGGAATGGAAATACCTGTTCTAAACACAGAAATGACACGCAATCTAACTGATATCTCTGTCTTTGTACAGCTCAAAAGGCTGTTTGCATGGGAACTTAAAATCAGATGGACTACTTCTGAGTTATCAGGAGCACACACGGGACACCTCATGAAGCTCATGGCACAAAAGTCTTTTCCTTCCTCCAGGTGGGTCCCAGCAGGTTCAGATACCTGCCTCCGAAAGCCTGAAGGAAAGACACAACCTATAATTAGGTTATTGGGCAGCATTTGCTGAACAGCCATTCATCATGAATTTCAGAAATGTTTTCATAGTCTATACACAGTTTAGATTTTGTTTAGAGACCCAGGTTTTATTCTTAGATTGGAGGTTACACAACAATGTTTGAATGCATTACAGTGGGATTCTTTATCAGAATTGCTTGGAAATAAAAAGCTGTTTTTACTGAGACATTAAACCCATGAAATTATCATTACCAAAACTGTACTGACTCAAATAAGTACACAGCAGAAAAAAAAATGAAAACTAAAACAAAACAAAGAAACAAACAAACAAACAAAAAAACAACGTGACTATGTTTTCCATACAGTTTTTGAGCCAAATCAACAGGAGAGCTGGCCTGGAGTCAGAGTAGAAATACATGTAGGTACATTGTACCTGGCCTAGCATCAGTGGTACCCCAATCACAATTACACAAATGTGTTAAAACAGTGAAACTCATTTCCTTTTTACCACACAACCAGGGAAAATAGTACATAATTCAGGATGGTACATCAAGAAATCATTCCCAAGAATCAAATAAAAACAACTATAATTCTCAAACAGAAAATATCACAACACTATTGGGCTGGAAACTCTTGAATTCAAACCAGATGCGACTGCCTTCCAAATCCCCAGCAATAGCTGCATCTCTTAACATAAGGCTTTTTAACAGATTCTCATAGCCAGCACAAACAGCATCTTCAGAACAAAGGGCAGTAACACTTCCAGCAGAGTTTAACTAGATCCTGAGGATCACCAGCATGAATGATCTGCTTTCCTATTGTCCTTGCAGGCATTTCACCAGGCATAAATAACATGTACCAAAGAGATAAGGAGCTAGGGGCAAAAACACAGAACAATACAGAATAATGAAGTTGCACGACGCGCTTGCAGACTTTGGTCTATGCTTCTCCAGGTCAGAGGATGTCAGCGATGGGCTCCTTTCTCTGAGGATGAATCTGCAAAAGTAAATGAATACAAAAGGTTTTGAAATTAAGAAATACAACCCATTTATGATTATATGATTAATTTCCCTCTATTTTCTCTCTCTTCCTCCTCTCTTGGAGCCAATACTGCATATCCTTAAAGCCTGTCATCAGCCCAACAGAAATGGCACTAAGTATGAAGCAGCAAAAGAGTGCAAGGACATCCTACAATGCACTGGTAGTCTCTGCCTCTTAACTTCGATCTAGTCCTGAAGATTCTTGATACAGAGCAAACAGTAGAGTCTAATCATAACCTACAGCCCCCAGGTAAAACATTTCTAGACCTCCAGAAAGAACAGCTGACATTCAGCAGTGCTCATTAGGAATGCATTAGCAGTAGGTGTACCCAGGAGAGTACATTAAGTATGACAGAGGGAAGAACTAAGCAGTACTACAACTGTTAAGTAGGTGTCTGTGGTTCAGATTCGTGTTTGATAGTAGCTCACTCAAACTAGGAAAACAAAATATGGTTGAAGAAAGGAAATATACTAGCGCACGCACCAGCACTCACAGTACTTCACTTACAAGAGAAACATTAGGAGTGAAATACTTCCAGCGGGGACCTGAATTTGCCTGGGAGAATTGCTCTGCAGCTACTACGCAGTGACCCCATCCTTCACTTCTGAACACACAGGGCTGACAATACCCAAATGTATAGGAAAGAAAACTTGATCCAAAAGGTCCACATTTGTAACAAGCTGCAGTACTATGTGAATCGGTGATTTTGGTTACATTTTTCCTTACTGGTAGTTTCAGAGCTAAAATTCATGTTATCTGTTCACAAAAGCCAGGAAGAGCAACAATTAGGAGACCGGTTATTTTTGCATCATTAAGGTATACACAGATAAAAGCTTCACACCAAATGTCAGAATTCATGTAACAATATATTTTTTTGAACAAAAACAAAAGGACTGGGATATTCATACATTGAAGGCAGAAATACAGTAGGATGTCCTTTAATTATTACTATGATCCAACACAGAGTTCTCACGAGCAAAAAGTCTCTCTCGCCCTGAGACAACATTTTGTGGTACCCAGCAGGTGAAGCGCTCTGGGCTCTGACACACTTAGAACACAGTTCTGTGTGTTTTAAACAAAGTAAGATCTAGATAAATCTTGGTAAGTTGTTTGACAGAAATAAAATGATTAAATCATGCTGCTGCTAAGATTATATATCCTGTTCCTCCTCACGAGATGCTTCTGCCTGAAAAGTAAAAAGTCTCTGATCTCTATGTGAAGTTGACTTTTTTTAAAGCAATACTATTTTTTATTTTATTTTTTTTAAGGAACTTCTCATGTTACTGGGGTTAAAAATTATATGCATACAGAGCAGCATTTCTTTAAACTGCACTAGCAAAAATCAAGTTGTATCCGTAGAAATCCTGGAAATAATCACATATGCATTCCCAGTGGGATGGCAAGCTACTAATTAAATATCTGTCCTGACTAGTTGGGAGCAGATATTTCCTAATGTAATGTATGCACTGAAGATGGGCTAAATACCAAAAATGTTTAGGCTTTGGGTTTTTTTCTTCCAGGAAAATTAAGATGTCAGTTATTTTTTTTCTGTTTGGTTTTCATTGAAGATCTCCACAAATTATTTTCCAGTTTTACATTTTCCCCTCCCTACAGATGTCATTATTTTCAGTGGAAAACCCCACACTTCCCCCTCTTCTTCCAATTAGCTGTAATTATAACAACATTAGCCACAAAGTAGGTACCTTGAGGGCAAAAATCTGGAAAGCAGCAGAGCGTGGAAGGGAACAAGAGATGATATTATAATGAAAGTGGACACATCATGCTGCTTCATATGCTCATCTGGGCATCCCCAGGGCTTTGCAGGTTGATTTCTGCTTTTCCTAGGCACGTCAAGATGAGGTGGTGACCAGCTGCTCTTGCCTGTCCCATCACCTCCAGAACTACCCCTTGAACCGAGAGGTAGGAGAAGCGTCCTGTTTTGGCTTCTCCCTATGCCTGGCATAGCTGGATCCAAAACTAAAATGTACAGTTCAGGAGAAAGAAATCCAGTAGTTGTACCAAATGTTTGGAAAGGGGTAACTGGGGTTCTTAAACACGTGTACTGAGACTCTTTCTGCCAAGAACAGTATAAACAAATACAGTAGGATTAATTTTGGAAGTAAAAAAGACATGACATGCCAGTAGTTGCAGGCATGTAAAAGGGTTCTTCCTCTGAGTAGGCTTTCTGCAATAAACCTCTTTTCCAGAGAATTTTCATTAAAAAAATGGGTTCAGGGAAAATCTCCAAAATCAATTTTTTTTCCAACTGTCTTTTCAATTTTGTGCAGTTGGATAAGGAAGTCAACACTGCTTGCCAAATAAAGTGACATTAAGTACACTTGCTGGAATTCTTTCTGCCTTGTTCCTTAAAAAGGAAAAGAAAAAGAAAAAGAAAAAAAAAAAGAGGAAATTAGCTCCAGCAATGCTGAGTGACAAAGCACAGAGAGATTTAGGAGCAAATGTCCCTCCAAAGGCAGTGCAGCTGGCAGAACAAGGCTAAGCTGGAAGGATTTGAGCTCATTTTAGGAGAAGGCTTTCCACAAAGAGAAGTACCTGGGGTGGGACCGGCCCAGAGGCAGGCAGAAAAGTTAACCTCTCTGAAATACATCTCTGGTGCAATGAGACATCTCCCCTCTTCCTTAATCTCTACCCACCTCCCTGCCGCTTACCATTACACACTGCCCCTCTCTGTGTTGTGGCCTCCAAGCAAACACCTTTGCAGTTTTGGAAGTCGGGTGATCTCTCCTCACCTGGCCCCACAGACCAGCAGTGGCCCCCCAAGTAACTGCCCAGCCTCGCCTGCAGAGTGTTGCTGGACACAACGTGGTCCTGCCCATCTCTTCTCCTCACCTACTTCAGCTGGACTATTTCATGTCTGTGAATGACAGGGAGAAGAAACGTTTATGCCCACAGACAGACATGCTGAGCTCTGGTATGAGTTATCAGAGTTTTCCAGCTGGTTTAACAAGAGATGCAACACAAAACCTGCTGATGCAAACAGGAAGAACAAGCTAGTAAAATCAGATTAATAAACTTGAATACAGCCCACACTCTCCTCCTTGCAACCACCTGTTGAATATTTCTGGATTCAATCTGAATCCCAGTGGTGGAGAACTGACCTCTTGACAAGACAGCCCCATGGAAGAGTGGGAGGAGAGGAACCAGGTCAAGCCCTCACCTCCCTGTGGCCACACAGAGAGCATTTAGCTGCATCCCATAGCCTGGCATGAAAACCACTCCAGCCCGTGGGCATGCCTTTAGTACCTACTGCGTGGAACACATCCCCTCACTGAACACATAATCAAAAGCAAAAACCTTTTCTCGATCTTTTTGGAAATTATATATCACGCGGTTAGTAAATCCTCACTGTCCCACTGCAACCCCTAGCAGGTCAAAGCATCTCCAAGCTCCCGAGTTTACCAGTGCACTGTTTAACTCATGAAGCCCATCAAAATTGTTTCTAAGGTCCCAAAGCCACTGTGGTCTGAATGGTTCTTTGTTAATATTTAAGTAAACTCCCTACAGCCAGAGATGTGTTTTTACAGCAGGTCAATACAAAGTATCCCAAAGATTATTACAGCAGCACAGATCTCTCTACCTGTGCTGCAAGGATTTGTGATAGAGCCATTTTGTGGCAGCCACAATACAAATATTTCTGATCCACTAGACAGGCAGCTTTTAGAGACGAAAGCCAAACTAAACCACCTTTTTTGTTGTTGTTTTGTTGGTTGACTTGTGTATTTTGTTGTTGTTTGTGTTTATAGAGAAATACAATTATTATCAGTCAGGAAAGTTATTAAACTATTCTTACAGGACAGGACCACTTTCTTCTTATCTTACATACACAATTCATACCCCTCACTGATGCTCAAAAACATTTTATTTTTTTCTGGAATTCTCTCTTGCAAGACAATTTGTCCCAGGAAGCTCTTCCTCCTGTTTCTGACTTTCCTACAAGAAGTCTCATTTCTTTCAGGTCAGCAAAGCAAGAACAGTTCAATTACAGTTTACCTTGTTTGGGCTTCCTCCATCTATTCTGTATCATAATTTCCCCTTAAATTCTGAGGTCCTGAGTCTGCCCTTCTACTCTCCCTTTCTCAGATGGGATTACAAATTTTAGTTATTTGTCTCTAAAGATTTCTATTTTCCCTGATTCATTTCCTCATCCAGGAGATTCACATATGTTGTCTCTTGCTACTTTTAGAGTTCTTTACAGCCACAGTTACCAGAGTTGGAAATGTTCGTTGCTTCATTGCTTTGTCCTTTGAGACCGACTATAATTTTCTTTGGGGGAGCATTAACTTCTATTAAAGAAGGTATTTCAAAAATAACTGTGAGGAACCATGGACAAATAAAAAAAAATGGATTAAGTAATTTAAATTGTGACTACTGAATCAAAAATATAAACAAAGGCCAAATATAATCCACAGTAGCTACTTCTGGACCACAATGTCTACAAAGATTAGGGTATTTTATTTATTTTTACTTATTTAGGTGTATGGATAAGTACAAAATATAAGTAAATACAGTCATAAATGCATACCAAGATTACTAGATGTGTCACCTCCACATGCGTGCACACACTGACCATCACACTGTCATGTGCTATGTGAACAAAGACAGGGGTAAGATGCTCGAGCATGTTGTTATATGAGCCTCTGAATTGAATTCAAGGGCATGCTGACATGATTTCAAGGCTGAGGACTGGTCTGCCAAGCCATGGCACCTGCTTCTGGGAATAACTACCTTTCTCTATAGGGTAACTTCATTGTACTGTAAGGGCTATGGACCCTTCTTTTCACCCAGACTAAATCCCTAAATGTCCCATAGACACTTAGCTGCAAAATGCAGAGAGAGATGACTTCACTTGCAAGAAGCAGGTGAAGGTGCTTGGAGCAGGTCCAAAGTGCATTAGCCAAAGAAGCAAGGCACGTCACTGAACCCCACTTAGCTGACACATTTTTGAAAGGGAGCTGATGCAGCCCTGCTTAGTGATGTTCACTGCTTCAGACTCTGAACAGACAGGTTGCTGTTGTTTTGGTTTTTTTTTGCATAAAGCCATATTTCATAGATCAGCAGCAGAACATTAAAATTGTAACTAAATTATAATCACTAAGATACATTCGTCAACATTCATCACACGATCTTCGCAAACTTCACTTACACCTGTAAAAATTCCCCACACCGATGTTAGCATAACATAATCACAATACCACCACGGATGGACAATTTACACACACTCCACCTCTCGTCTCTTCACCACATTAAAACAACACAAATTTGCCACGATTATTACACCCTCTGACAACGCTTCGCTTTGGTTCCACTTTGACCATAAAGCTAAACCACAAGGATTTCATTTAGATAATTACGATATCTTACTACAGCGGAACAAACACCTCTTGTTCATTCTCGTTTTGGAGAGGCTTAGTGGGAAAAGAGTAGAACATTGAGGCCTGCGGTTTTTGGTTATTGTTGTTTTGCCCTTTTCCTCTCCTCCTTCCTGTATTTTGATGAAATCATTTCCAGGCTAATTAGAAAGGTTTCATACTGAAAGTGCCAGATCCAAACTATCACAGCACTGTGAACGTTCAATGCCACAGACAACACTGCTCCTCAGGCCTGTCTGTAAGCGATTCTCTGTCAACCAACAAAACTTAGATGTGTGAGGAAAATAACAGGTGTAGAAACCTTGGCAAACAGGGGATTGGATGGAGAGCAAATAGTAGGAAAGCTCTGTGGTGATTTTTATTATTATTTTTTTTTAATACATTTCAGTAATTATTCTTTCCCTATATCTTTGGAAATAGATGTGATCTTTACAAGTAGAAACTTTACAAGGAGAGATGCAACAGCCCTTTAAGAAAGCCTTCTCTGAACAGGGCAGCAGCTAAGAAAAGTGCTGTCAGGAATGCTGCCACACATGCTCATTTTAAACTCACCCTTGCAATTTGCATTAGTCCAAAACAGAACAAAGAAATTGGAACAACGTTTAGAATACTTTCTTCATGTATTCCTGGAGTTTGTCTTTAAAACCTTTCTTAAAACAAATGACTTGAATATAGACTTAACATAGGTGACTACAATACATAAATCCTGGCTAGTGCATTTTAAATGATTGTAGAAGGTGGACTTCTCCGTGATCAACAGCTAATAAAAAAATCTCTATTCTATTATCAAAAATAAAAAGAGTAAAAGCCTGGAAGGACATATAGGCATACCCTATGCTATACACAACATGATGATGGTACTTGCTGAGGGTTCCTTTTGATGGTCACTAAAAGAGAAAGGGAAGAAAAAAGTCTGAGTTTCCTAAACGCTCTTCCACTGAGGAAGAGGTATTAGGATGTTCTGTACAAACAACGGTAATAGAAAGACAAAGCATGGATTTAAAAACACTTTTTTTTTTTTCAGGGAGACAGAAGTCAAATCACTGACAATCAAGCAGTGTGAAATAATTATCTTTTCTTCATATTCCATAAGCGTACTGCCCTGGACCACAGCTGCAGTTGGTGGCTGGACTTGTTTCATACACTGGTATAAACATCCTCTCAGTATCCTCTGGTGCAATAAATCACTCTGAGTTTAAGTGGGAGGAACTACAGAATTAATCTCCTGGCCTCTCTTGCAGTCACAGCTCTACTTTCCCTACAACCACATCAGAACCCTCCAAGCAGTTGCCATGTATCTATGGGAAGCTCATCCTCCATTTTGGCAAGCTACGTTCCCACCCTACCCTCTCTTCCCTGCAAATGTAGAGGGCAACAAACAACGGAAGAGTTCCTCTGTAGCCATCTTCTTCTAGTTACAACACAGCTTTTGGTGAGGACTCCCTCCCACCCCATGTGGTGTCCACTTGCACCGTGACATGGCACCCAGATGGAGCACACATGCTCCCACAGCACACGAGTGAACATTGCTGATCCCCGTGCGCTGCACAGGATGATGCACTATTCATCTGAGATGGTGTCACTACAAATGAGCCACGAGACATAAGAACAGAGCAAAACACAGAACCTTAGGTGCTGTGATCTTTGACTATTTTTGAGAAAAAAGGGGTGGCTTTGGGAAATTTCTGAAGACAACATGAAGGGACAGATTCCCACCCAGAATAACATCCCTTTATCTTTGTGCTCTCTGGCATCTGTCTTTTGACCAGTCTGACCCAAGTACTTTAAAACACCAAGGAATTTAGCATGATTTCAAATCCGGGTACAAATACTAAATGCTCTTCCTGGTTTCCAGCAGATAGCTTACACCGACACTTCAGCAAGAAATTAATTTTGTCCATTTAAACAGTCATTTTCAGACCTGGCACCATGAACTACCAAGGCAGATCTAGAACAGCAACAGGCATTTTGCCTTTAAAGTGAAATGACATCCTAAAACCTGCACTTTGTTACCAAGGGCTTCTAAAACCTGCTCCACCCCAGCCCCCAGGTTCAGCCCATCATTAAATTTAGTCTTAGAGCAACAGAAGCTCTAAGGAAAACTCTAAGGATATCTATTCTTTAGGACTCTTACTAGGCAGTTAATGAGGTAAATGTATGATCCTTTAACGTGCAATAGAGATAATTTACAAATTGCAATGAAGCTGGAAGCTCTAACGCAGATTGTATTACATTAGAAACCTCACCTGTGTTGCACATACACCAGCCTCAGCTCTCTGAGGCAAAGCTGTCACGTAAGCCCTCAACAGATAAATAGGCAAGTTTACTATATAACCCTCAAAGGCCCTTATTTTAAAAAACACATTTAAAATATGCTCTGTACAGCTGTTGTCTTACCATTTGCCTTGTGCTGCACATCTGGCGGAAACTGGTCAGGAACATACCACTGATAGTCTGGCTGCACAGAACAATAAAACATTATTACAGCAATATAGACTTCATAGACACTTCAAACAAAGGAATAGTGGCATGTTAAAAACATAATTGTGCTGCGAAGCTTTTTCTTAGTCATGCAAAAGTAGTTTACAAAACTTTTATATTTAGCTTTATGTTTCCACTGATTGAGTCTTTTCAGTTTGCTTCCTTTTTTGTAACATGGTTTAAATGCTGAACTGATTTAAAATATTGGTGTAAGCCTTTCTAGATCCCCCAAATCAAAACAAACATTAACAGAAACAAATCAGGTTTTAAAAGGGCTTTTTAGTACACTACTGCTAAAACAGACTAGAAAATAATAGCCGAAATCACATTTTTAACTGGCTCTATCTTCAATATTTAGGAAACCCAGAGATATCTGGCACACACACCGACCTAACAGGTAAAGCTGTTCCAGTTTCAGTATGGGTAAACACAGTTTTTTGCATGATAGGAATACCCTTTGAGTCAAGTTCTTTCCCTTCTCCCTTTCCACAGATTAGCATTTGTGTTGTAATTACATTAGCTGTTATCAAATAACTTATTGAAAATATTGTGGGATGGAAAGGTTCCCCATCTTTCTTCTAAGAGGATGTATTGGGAAGGTGATGTCCATGCAGGCATAGTTTCATCCAGGGAAATCCTTTATAGCAAGCAACAGCAAGGAAGAAAGAAATATTGCAATACAGTTTATACGCTGTGGTAAATAAGTAGCACGTTGCCACTAAATAAACAATTTTGGGACCAGACATTTCAGTTGAAGCTCTATTAAACCATCAATTTGGTTTGAGTACATGCAAGCTCATCAAATTCCAGGTAATTACTGCTTCAAATTAGTTAAACTGGGAAAATGATTCTTGTTTTGCAGAAATTGCTCTTGACAAAACCCTGAGTAGTCCCAAGGAGACTCTTACACACTTCAGCTTGTAGGGAAGAAATTTCATTGACTTCTAAAGAAGTTCTGCCTAAATTAAGGCAGCAGGATGAAGCTGTAGATATAGAAAACAGATTTAACTTTTATGTATGCTGTCATTTGCAGTTATGTTGCAGTAATTGCTATCCTACACCGTTAGGATAAAGGAACTATCCTATCTTCACTTAAATAATAATGTCCACATGAATTACTAACTAATTCTGTGTTTGTGGGCAAACAAAACACACTTTGATACAAAGCCAGACTGTGCTTTGCTTTATGCAGTTTTTCCACTGATGGCTTAAAATATACTTATTTGCATTGCTCTTCTGAGTTTCTATTGAATTTTCTGTTCTCTGATCCACTCTTTCATACATACACAATGCAAAGCTGAATGAATTTCAGAGACAAGAGATGTATTTCATGTCAGACTAAACAAAAACGCTTCTACTGACAATGTAAAAGGAACGAAAAGGTGCAAGATATAAAAAGATTGAAAAAGCAAAAGCACAGACTAAACACACAGGATTACGTATGTTAACTCAGGACACTCATTAAATTCTAACACCTTTCTTCATTGCTAACAAATTGCTCAGGGAGTTATCAAAAGCTCAGAGCAGCAACACTGCACTCTCACAGGCAAAGAATTTCAAAGAAAACTCAGAATGAAACTGGGAGTTACAAAGCAACCAGTCAAACTGCCCCCAGTGCTCCAGCAGGAATGGCAAAGTTGTAAACCCAGTGATCCCTTGCAGAATTAGAAACCCAGATGATGAAAGTTCAGGGAGAAGAGCCAAAATAATCTGGGACAGAGTCCAAATTGCAGCGAAAAACATTCTGCGATACTTCCAACTCTGATAAACAAGCAGATAAGCACACTCCTGGACTATAGAAATGATTCCTTTGACCACAGCTTTTCAAATGGATTTCTGCAGTCGGAAAGCCTTATACGTGTCTTGCAGAAACTAAGCTGTAATTTCCCAAATAATGAACATCTTTTGATAGGCAACAGCTTTATAGGCAGAAATGACATTCACCATGTTTAAATTTATTCTCACTGGTTTTGAACAAGCACAGCCTACTTGTTAGATAACCAACAGCATTTCAAAAATGTCAGTATTTTTCCTGAAACAGATAACTCATCCTGACATAACCTGCCCTAAGGCAAAGGGTTCCTCTTCATGCCAAGGAAGACAGGACCTTGTCATGTGCCAGGAAAAAATTAAAATTTCCCACTGTGTTAGCCATGCTCAGATATAACTTCCACTTATGCTCTTTTTTTTTTTTCTTTCTTTCTTCCAACACACAGGCTTGCTTCGGAAAATTGTATTCCTAAAGCATTCAGCCTGAGTGCCTCACCCTCAGTAAACCTCACTCCTCACATAATCCCATTTCACATCAGAGTACCAGAAGGAAGATACTACTCAACACAAGCAACACAATCTGGGGCTTCACCCTTAGAGTGGAACAGCAGCGCTGTGCACCCTGCCACAAGCTTGTCAGCATGTGGGAATGTACGGGGAACGTGTGTTTGTGCAGCCTGCCACAGGGGTACTGCCTGGTGGTAGGACAGTTGTATTATCCGTGAATACAGAAACCGTAAGTGAAGCACGAAAGTCATTTTCCAATAATAGAGCCAGAGACACAAATACTCAGGGTAGGACACGGAAATAAGACATTAGTCAACAGGCTTTCTTCAGCTGCATAGAGGGAAGAGAACAGAATAATGTCAACTGCAACTAGATACCCAATTGTGTCACTGTCATTTACTTTGTATGCCCAGAACTGGGCTCCAGCTAGAAAAGGCTCTGCATTTACATGTATGTAAATTAATCTAAGAAACCAACAAGAATCCAATAGAACAACTTTTTTTTTTTTTTTAATTATAGAATGACCAGAAGCATCATGGAAAACAAACGTATAGTCTCTTTTTCTTCTTGCGGTTTTATAGATGAACAGTATTTGCCAAAATAAATTTAAAATATATAATAATATATACTTAAATTATAATTTATCATCCAAATATTAAATTGCTGCATTTTTTCCTTTGTGCACAGATTTCAGTGGGTTATGCTTCAGTTGAGACATGGCAGCACTCTGTGTGCAGTTCAGTACCAAAGACACAGGAACAGCAAAGAAAAGAACAAGCTTATAAAAGAAAATCGGCATCTGGGGGAAGACAAACATGAAAGAGAGACTGTACAGAGAACAGAAAGGCTCTTTCAGATCTAGAGGTAATTCTAAAACCAGTAAAAAACCTTGACCTGGCACCAAAACAAGCCAAAAGAACAACAGATTTAGTAACTGATGAGGACAGTGTGATAGCACCATGTTAATTCTTCTGTGGTCACCACACTGTGAGAAAATCAGTGCCCCTGTGAAACTGGAGAAGGTGGGAACCTTACTGAGTGTTGCTGCTGTTCGTGTGCCCTGCGAGACATTGGATGTACTCGAGGATCTTGATAGTGAAGGACCAACCCACAGTTCCCATAATTAACGCATGGGGAGAGAAAGAGTGGAGGTGGGTAACTGGGTCTCTCAGACTGTACCGGGAGGTCTTTTGTCTGTCAAAAATTAAGCAAAGCAAGAAAAAAAAAATGCATTACTAGCAGGATATGACAACCAACAGAATATCCACATACAAATTCATTGGTGAAAAGCAACAGGGAAGAAAATCCCCTTTGTCAGCATTAGTAACAATGCTTTCAGTTTAGCTTCTTCAGACTGTTCACAATTTTAAAAGCATTTAAGAAATTTGACTTTTCTCATGCCAGATTCTTGACACCTTTTATGTTAGAAAATATCTTTTTTCAATATGTGGCAAGCATATTTCTGCATGCTTTCCATATTCAAGAGATCTTCATTACACATTAGTAACATTCAATGGTTTGAAGCAGACCTACATGTGGACAGGCATTTGCATAACAAGAAAAATAAATAATATTGGTAAAGGACCAAAGTCTATGGTCTTGAGATTCGGTTGTGCCTTTTCTTAGGCTTTCTGCATCCCAGTAGAATTAATGGGAATTTGCCTAAGGACAGAACAAGGAGGAATGAAAGATGAGTCAGAACTAAATAATTTGACTTAAGAAAATAAACTAGTAAATACACTGCATGGCTCCTCTTGTATTTAAAGTACTTCATAAGCTTGTTTAATCACATCCCAAAGCAGGAAGAGACAAACAAGATGCTCCCAAGTGTAGGCTGCCAGTGCCACAACTACTCAGCAGCGGCTGCCTGTGTGTGTACCAGTGCCTCAGAAATTCCCTGTGATAAAGGCTAAATGAAAAAGGAGGAATTGAGCAGGGCCAAATACTGTGGAACATCTGAGGCACTGCAAATTCACACTGTACTGGTCTCTCTCATCCATCCATAGCCACAGATAACTCATGGAATAGATTTGGGTCAGCAGCTGAAGCTGAACACACACACAGGATAGCTTAAAGCCTGGTACTGAGCCTCTGTATATAGGTGAGCCTCAGGTACTACTCCACTAGTTTCCATCTCCTGTGTCAACTAGAATACACCTGCAAGTCCCAGCATCTGTCCTGCAGATGATAGCCAGTTATGTACAGCACCAATCCTCTGGCAAGGGTTCAAGATCTCTATGTTGTGAGATTAAGTGCCCTCCTTCCTCCCTCCCAAGAGGGTAAGAGGAGGAAGAAAGGAGGTGCTCGTTCTCCCAACATAAAGAGCTTGAACCCTTCAGCCCCTCCTGTCACATCTAATGCCACTGGCTTTGGTGGCTGACAAGCAGAGGCAGCGACCAGGAGCGTAAGAAATTGAGATAGTTCCTCACTGCTCCCAAGGGCCAGCATTTCATTTACATCCAACAACAAGACACAGGTAAACAGAAACATACCTGCTGCTGCAACTGCTTTTCTAGTTTTTCCTTTCCCTTCACACAGGTCTTAATCTGAAAATAAATGAAATATTCACCCTGATAAATCAAACCCTTAAAAATCACATCCAAAGCTGCAATGTCACTGCAATGCAGGGGCATATCACACAGAGCTTGTACCACCTGTAGGGCGCACAGTATGCATGCACTGCAGATAAATCACTGGTCCTGGTCCAGAGGGGCTGGGGAGGAGTGGGAGAGGCCTATTAGCCCCATTTATAGTCCCTCTGCTCACTGTCACTGCTGTGAGAGGTTCTCACAGCATCCACTGACTGACCAGTCAGGGCCATACAAGAAGTTTAGGTTTCTATGGTCTCTAGATGAAGCAAAAATATATAGAAGATGTCTTGGAGTACAAAGACATCTACAGATGTGTCCTACACACAGACACACCTTATTGAACCAACCAGGAGTGGGCTAGTGGGTAGGGGAAAGATAACTAAAAGTTATTGCATGCGAAATAGCAGATTTGTCCGAGGTATTTCTGCATGCCTGGGATGCCCTGAATGGCAAATCACAGCATTCACTCTGGCACTGCCATTTTGTTTGTTTGTTTTTTACACCTGCATGGAATGCTTCCAAGCACCTACAAAAGCACAGGTTAGCCTCAGGCCCAACTGCAGCAGTGCCCTAGCATCAGTCAAGATGCCCAACCTGTGCTCCTCTACAACTGAAGCTGGTGGCAGTGAGGAACACTGGACAGCACCTTGTCTCTCACTCTATTGCAAGATCTTACTAGTATTGATGAATGGCTTGGCTGAAAATAAGGCAATACCGCAGTTTCTGTTTCAAAACAAAGTTGGGGAGAACAATAAATCATCACAGAACATTTTGGTAATCAGCCATTCTTTTAAAACATTGCACAACTCTGTCAAGACAGGAAACCTCAAAATTTCATAACTTTTAAAGGGAGTTGAGAAAGCTCAAAATTTTGCATGCCATGACTTTGCTTTGGCTTCCTGAATGTCTGTGAACAGAATACTGACACTACTCTGAAGAGATAAAAAGGATGTTGCAACAAGAAATTATTCCAGAGGCTGCTCAGCTAATTTGGATGGAGACTTTTTTTTTCCTCAGTGATATTAATATTGCTCTGTAATTCCATAGCAGAGGTCAGGATTCATTACAGACGCTTTTTATTTCAAAAGCTGGTTTGATGTTACAACTCTCATATCAAGTGCCAGTGAAACAATCAAGAGTCCTCTGGATTTGTTTTTGATTCCCCCCTTGTATTTTAAGATATGTTTGAAGAGTTCTTGCAATAAACACTCCCTTCATCTACTTAATTTGGAAGTTGTCTCTAATCATTTCTCATCTTCTTACTGCATTACTTCAGAATGATTTCATCCCAGGTGGTGACCTCACATAAAATCCAATGTCAATTAATGGAAGCCAGAAAGCCTTGGATTGTGTGGAGAGTGAGAAAATAAAAATAAAATACACATGTGCTGGCAATAGTGACTTTCTTTTGACTCATACCTGAGAGTTTAGTTTATTCAGTTGAGACTGTAATCTCTCGTTAATCTTCTGCAATGCTTCTTTCTCCTCATTAAGTCTTTCTCCTGTCAGATCGCTCCTTTCTGAAGTCTTCTTCATATATTTGTACCTGCAATCATTATGACTATGTGAATTTCAGCAGAGCCACAACAGAAATTTTAATCCACTTTGTTATATGGTTGCTTTTTAAACAATGGCCAAGCAGTGGGATGCATTCCAAAAGGATCCCTCTTTACAGTCCTGCAACCAAAAGATTTTCCCTCGCTATTTTTCTTTTTTTTTTTTTTTTTAAATGAACAATACAAAATGACAATTCCACAGTGGCACATCAACTGAAACAGTCCACAGCTTCACTGTTTGTAGATAGTCATAATTAAAAGGCTTACTGGGGAATATCCATTTTAACAATTATAAATAAGATACAAAATACTAAAGACAGTGGATCTTTTTAAGGGATAAACAGTAGTAGGGCAAACATTTTATGATTTTTTTTTTTCCAGTTTTCAATTGCAAACATCTTTTAATCTCTCCAGTATCTCAGATGCAAGCAGTTAGCATTCTGGTGGAGACCGGAGGTGCTCACACAGCACAAAAAAATGACGTCTATCACACTGTCTGACAGAAGATTATCATTTTATCCAACCTAACGATGAGCAACTGTGATCAAAGAACATCCTGCCTTTTTCATAGCCCACTGAATACCACATGACAAGCTTAGCCTTGAGCCTACCTTGCTTTATGCCTTTGCAGTTGCCTGCAGATTTACCTTTTCTGCTGCTCTAACTCTCTAACAAGAGTGTAGCCCAAAGGATTAATCTGTGAAGAGTAAGTGACAGTATTTAGAGCCATCGTGATATACTTATGACTAGAAAACTTGAACTAGTCAGGACAGTCAAGAAGTTTACACCTTGGCTGAAACACTGTGGAAAGAAACCCATAGTTCTTCAACTAATGGGCAGGCATCCACCTGGTATGAAGCTGAAGGTCGGTGGCACTTTCAATGACAGATAAGGTTGGATTAGATGGTCTTAGAGGTCTTTCCCAACCTTAATGGTTCTATTATTCTATAACAGCAAAAGCACACTGGAGTGGGAACTATCACCAAAGCTTTCAGGAGTCCTTTCAGTTGGTCACTAAAGCCTGCTGACAATCTACTGTCAAAGAATTTGGTTGCTGTGTCTCATGCTCTGCCCCTAGCATAGACACAGCTTTTCTTTTTCTTTTTTTTTTTTTTTTTTTTTTTTTTTGCTGGCAGCAGTATTATGACTACACAGGAGAAATAAAGAAACATTAATACCTCAGGGAAAGAAAAAAGAAGTAAACACAGGGCTCTATAAATTTTCACTACCTGCCTGTTGCAGCTGATATTTGCAAGGTTTTTTTGGATCTGACGGTCCCTGCACTAGATATAACCCCCTCCCCGAATAACAGAGTGTAAAATGAACAAAGGCTTTCTGTGTGGCCGCGTGGATCTCTGCTTACAGCCTGTGCCTGAAGGAGGCACGAGCACTACTGACCCTCCAAAATAGCGGCAAAGCTGTCGTTTGCAGACATGTAGCTCTCTTGTACCTCTGTCCACCTACATGCACCTCTTTATTAGAGTTTCCTCATTTCTTCTCTCCTACCTCACCTCCCTACTGCTCCCCACCTGTACAATTTGTTGAAGCTGCAAGGGAGCAAACTCTGTCACAGCTTTGTCATTACATTCTCTTGTCCTGAGAAATAGGGGGACATCTCCGAAGCAATTAATGCCTTTAACTTTTCTATAGTAGCCAGGGATGGCCTGGTGACAGCCAAGCTCTGGTGAGGCTCTGTCATATTGTGTGTCCCAGGGGCCCCTCCTCCATACAGTTAGAGCTTTCTGCTCCATTTCGTGCAGAAGGAAGTTTGGACTCACTGCACTGATTTATACAACTAGAGAAATATACTCATAAAATGGTTGCCCCATGAGAATTCTGAAGAAAAAAAAAAAAAAAAGAAAGAAAGAAAAAGGGTTTACTCTATTTTATTGTGTAGAATGAAATAACTCATTACTGTACAATCAAGTGCAGGATTTTATTCTCCAGCATGTGGCAAGCATTACATTAGAGAGCAAAATCTGGCTCTGCTGTCAAACGTGACAGAAACAAGTATTTTATTCCCATTGAATAAAATTCCCATTCTGATCACATCCATTTGTGTGTCAATAATGTTAGCCCTAACACTGTCCAGGATGACAGACCAAAATTGTTAGATTATCTGAGAAGTATCATGCTTTTAAACATATTCTCTCATATGCAGAGTGCACAAAGCACTTGAATTGCTCAAAATGAAGATTAAAAAAAATAATTCTCTGTAGTGATTGGTATGCAGGTTATAGATTCAAAAGTCTCATACCACACTTTGAACAACTACAATACCAACACTCTAATTTCCCAAGACCAGCATTCTCTAGACAATTCATTAAACTTTCAACTTCTACGATATAAGGAGCAGAAGATACAAGCAACAAATTCGTCAGTAACTCATGAAGTTTGGCATTCTCTCTGGAGGAAATTCAGTCCCTAGCAGGGAGCTGGCAGGACGCCTCCAAAAATCACAAGAACCATTCTGCAGCTTGAAACCCTACACAAGAGCTTGCTCCAGTCTTTCGCAAGGACTGAATTTCACTTTATGGACACTGCTGTGATGACAGCATCTTAGGAAACACCAATTTGAATGGACTACAACTCTTCCGTTCAAAAGTACTATATAGCAAGTCAGCCAGGCACTGTTCTTGGGAGAGAAGGCAAAATCGTATGGCATGAAATTCAAGGCAGGCTTGCTTCCAGCCATTCTCACCTGCTGCTGGAGAACTTCAAGTTGGGTTCTCATGTCCTCGAGGCTGTTCTTGTCAACCCCCTCTGAAGGAGTCCCAGGAACAGATTGGTGCTTCTTTTGCAACACATCCTTAAGGGCCTGCAACATAAAGCATCATAGCTACTGTACTGAGATCCACCACATCAGAAAGATTTACTTTACATCATTATAAAGTTTTCTCCTTAAGTAGAGTCACAGACCTTTTTTCATTCATTTGCAGTTGTTTCAATTATATACAGTGAATATTGTGAATAACATTTATGTATGCCTAAGTCCAAATTCTCAAAGCGCCCACACTAGATCCATGAATTTGAGATGGTGTAGTTTAGAAGACTGTGTTTTTACTTAATCTATAACCAACAACTAGCTGTGGAAATCACAGCTGCAAATCTCATTCAGAAATCCCATTTTCCCTGTGCAAATCAGAATTTGAGAAAACCAAGACCAGTGTCAAAAGATGAAACAACACAATAACGTTAAAGTAGCACTCGACTATGCCTATAAATGTTCCTGTAGTAAAGTCAGACAAACACTTTTTGCACCAGGAGCACAAATTTCTTCAGCTGGAACCAAAGTGAATATTCACATCGAGACGAAGTTATGTAGTCTCTACAACTTGTCACTAGAGGGAGTCATGTATACACACACTACGCTGAGAATGCTCTTGTACTATTTTTCAAATTCTGCTACATTTCTTTGCAGATTTTATTTATTTAATAGTGTTCCACAGCTGTCCCTTGGACTGGAATAGTTCTTAAATCATTCTTACCACTTTCTGTCTATAACCACACTTACACATTTCTTATTTACTCTACCACGAACGCTCACATTTCAATTTCAGTGCTTTTCTGCATCTCCCACGGAACATACGGACTCAGCTAATTTCCTCCACTTTAGAAGGTTCTCTTCTTGCTAGTGGTCCCCAGATCCCCCTGACTGGCCATGCACCACTCGTGTTGTAAGAGAAGGGAGAAAATAACTTGGAAAGGGAAAAGGGAGAAGGGGAAGAAGACGAGCAGGAAAAAAGAGCACCTAAGAAACCCAAGGATTAGTGTTGTGGACTTCATCTTCCATGAAGTATAGAAAAGGGGGAAAAATAGCACTTCCAACAAGGAATGCAGAAGAGAAAGGGAGGCCTTTTATCTGATGAGCTACTGTCCCTAAGAACAGTGCAGAAGAGGTATACTACTGGCGAAGATTGTATTCCATGTTATATGTGAATAAGGTTATACCTAAATATGGGAGGATGTGGACACATAGCTCACTGACTAATCTTCTTTTTGTCCCTTCCAGCCACTGCTAATCTCTTTTACAATATGAACTTATATGAACTGAGATGGCGCTGCAGCAAAGTTATCAATTAAGTCAGAGAGAAATTTGTGAGAGAAATTTCAAACTATTGCAACACTTTCATATAGCAAACATCAAAGTAGGATCAGATCTACATTTTGGGTACTTTGGAAAACCAGATCTATGCTGAATGAAGCTGGAAGCAAACAGGTTAATGTATTTAAAAAACAGTACTTATATCTTCCATAAACTGGGAACTAAGTAGCTTAAAATGACTGAGATGCAAAATCACGCGTATTAGCAAGCACTGTTATATATTTAAGGGAACAAAAACCTTAGTTCAGCTTAACTACTGCCTGGTAATGAAAATATGATTGCTTCATGTTGATTTGGGAAAAGAGCAAGGGTAACAGCAGGAGTGAACCAGATTTGTTAGCAGATACTACTACCATTAAAAAAAAAAAAAAAATCATCTGGCCTGAATAAATTCAGCCCAACTGAAATGGATGAAAGTGTCTAATGAAAGAAGGGTTTCATCTCCAGAACAGCCTTCCAACAGAAGTAACACATAAGGAGCTTAAAGTATTTTTAAGGTAGAAGTCTGATTTAGAAAAATTTGTAAGCACTTGAAGTCACTGAAACTACAATAGCAGAGGTACTAGACTTAAAAGGTCACAGTACTACATGCGTTCATGAGATCTGACGGATGCAATTACACAGGAAATCAGTAAAGCATCAGTCGTGTGAGAAACTATGTTGCATAAAACTGATGTTTCATTTAAAACTATGGTTTATTTACCTACACCTTAGTTCCAACAACATTGTAAGATTCTAAAAATAAAATAAAATACAAGCAAGATCTGTAATGAAAGTCAGAAAAGGTTTTGAGCAAGTCTTGTCAATGCATTTCAGAATGAGCTAAAGATCATAAATTGTCAGATATTTTAATATGGCAACATTACTTTTTTGCCCTGACTTTCACACATTCTGGTCCTCCAATTTATGCTTCACTTAAAGATACACAGCAATGGTTATTGCAGTGCATTTCCTCAGGAAGCGTTTGTGGTTCACCATGAAGTACAGAATTGTTAGAAAACACCCACTGCTTTATGTGATCTTTTGATTAAACAAAGTTGCATTTATTACTTTCCCTCAGTTTAAAAAAAAAAAAATCCCCTGAGCTATTTTATGGCAATTTCCTCAATGAAATACACACGCACACATACAAATACATATACACAGTCGTGTATGTATGCATGCATGCATATAAGAAGACTGGAGCATATGTCCTGTGAAGAGAATCCATTCTCAGACAGAACATATGTAAAACAACAGTTTTTTAACTGTCTGAATTTTTTTATCACAGTGTTCCACTGGAAGCACATGAAAACAGCTTTGTGCCATTTCCCATTTCCCTTTTGTTTTAAGGAGGGGAAACCTAGAAAGAATATAATTATGACAGAGAATTTTCACAGAAGAAGCCAAAGATTTTCTTAACTTTCTTCTTTACAGTGCAAACCCTCCAACCTGCCAAGAGCAGCATGAACAGGTGTTAGCTAAATTCAGTTCTTGTTCCTTTCCCCAGCTCTCTGAATCCATGATCTATGGATTAACAGTGACCATTAGTTTGCTAATAGACAGATTGCTCACCAAAGGATTGAAAATAAAGTCAGCAGGTAGTGTTAGTGCTTAACATCAGAGACCCTAGAATTAAAGTGAGAAGTCCTAGTCACTGGCTCAACTCTTGCTCATACCTTATTAAGACGACTTATTTCACACTCATAGTGTTCTTGTTTTCTTATCATTGAGGCATTCTTCTGCTTCAGCAGCTTGTTCTCTTCCTTCATGTCGTGCAGGACTTCACTGAGAACCTTTGTTTCTTTCTGGGATGCAAAATACAGAGAAATGCAGATGGAACCATTTTTCAAAACAATTTTCAAGTATCTGCTGCCTGGCAGATGTGCTGAATTTTTGGTGTCCCAAACACAGCTGGGAAGGAAAGCAACAGGAAGACGGATGGTTAGTAAAACCCAGATATGATAAAGTTTGTTGAAATTGTTTTGACCACTCACCATATGATGAGATAGAGGCAACATACCAGAATAAATTCCTGCTCTCCATGATCTGCAGTTGCATAAAGGCATGAAAAAGCTGGCAGGCCAAAGCAAATGGTAGCATACAAATGACCATCTCAACCCTGCCTTGGTCTCATCCACTCAATGCAAGGTCAGGGCTATAAGCAGGTGGAGTCCCAGCCACCCTGAGTATCATACAACATCGGAGACAAAACCATATCTCTGTATCTTACAGTGTGAGGGCTTTTCCCACTACTCAAGAGGCAGGCCTCAGCTTGCTCAAGAATTACCAAGCTGCCAACTGAGGCTTAGAAACCCACATTTTATTTTATTTTTTTTTAACCTCATCACAGTTGGTGTTTTGAGCTCGACCCTTCTTAGTGTGTGTGCCTACACTGCTTCCATCCCAGCAAACCACCATGAAGATATCCGTATTTGTAACAGGACTTATCAAGTCTTTCAAGATGTTATTATACTAATTAGTAGGACAGATTTGCAAAATTAAGTTTGATTCACTTCTCCTATTGCTTTCAGCACAGCTATTTTCAACTTACAATGAGGGGAGCTAAGATTCAGATCAGAGCCTGAAGTAACTGGCATTGTGTAAGCTTCCCTCCTTTCTCTCCAGGGTAATGCATTCCTAGCTAGCTTACTTTTGTCAAACTGTCTTAGAGAAAGCTGTTCAGACATTTGAAACAGAGTGACTGCTCTACAACAACAACAAAAAAAACTTCAAATATTCCTCTGCAGCTGCTTTATGTGATAAAGAAATGAGATCCAACAATCACACACACATGACACCATACACATGCTATCTTTTTGTGCAGTAGCCCTATCTCTGTGCAGCCAGCTACTAGCTATTTTCTCTCTGGGCTCATGAGAAGTGAATCACTGTGTCCACATCAAGCCACTGAAAAACACCCCTGAGAAACTGTCCCATATGCAGAAGGTAGCCTTATTATCCTTTGTTCTAGGCTACTTGGAACATTTCTATAAGGAACTCACTCGGGATTTAACTCAAGTTGGCATGTCTCTGTATGCTTGAATATATTAAAAAAAAAGAAAAAAAAAGAAAAAAAAAAAAACTAAAATCCTTGTAGGTTTTTAGCTTTATTCTACTCTTTTCCATCCCCTTTTCCTCTCTCCTAGCACACATTCTCCTTCTCCAAAGCTGACAGCTTGGGGAATACAAACATTTATAATTAACCCAAACACAGTTTGTTTGGGTTTTTGAACCATCTGAATTCTTAGTCTTGTTGCTTCTTACTCAACACTTAATCTTAGGTTTTATGGCTCCTTTGCCATAAGTCTTTGATTACCATCTACAGGCACACAGTTGAGTGCAGAGAGAACAAAATAATTTAAATCTCCAAAACTGTCAGTTTTCATCTGTGGGCCATGGAGGACATGCGAACAGATTAACTTTTAATTCCCAACATTGTCAGTGTGACAGTCATACCTTCAGATGCACCAAAAAAGAAAATTAGCTCCATCAGACAGAGATTGTTTGCTGTTGCTCGTTTTCCCATATGGCTCAGGGAAGCTACTCTGAATAAATAAATTTAAAAGGTCCTGTCAGGCTGCTGGATTAGATAAGCAATTAGAAAACAAACACCTTATTACTCTGACCTGGCAACAACCTTCTGCAGCCTATGCCAGCTCCATGGCTATAGGGAGTGAAGAACATTAAAAAATAAAAATAAAAAATAAAAAGAATGTTGCTTAATTGTCCCTTGGAACTGCTTTTTCTTCACCTAGCCCCATGGGCAGCACAGCATAACTTGATGTGGATATTATAATTTATGATGCTCATTCAAAATTCTCTACTTTTAGCAGCTACATCTGCAAAGGTGTAGATCTCCTGCATCCCTGCAGGGTATCCAACAGGTAAAGAAGTTCAAAAGAAATAGAAGCACATAGTGGCTGCCATATAATTTTTAGAGAAATTGCTGTTCTAAAGTTGGTATGCCAGGTGGGTTGACCCACCTCCGCAAGAGATTTTTAGAGTATATAGTTACCTTGTTCATTATTCACATATGCACAAAAACAATTTGAGAGTGTACTGCTCATTGTTACCTTTCCAAAGAGTTAGCAATTTTTCACAGCTATCATTTATTAAAAAGGTTGACAGTAAACATCTTAGTAATACGAACAGGAAGATGGATTGTCTATCATTGACTGTATACTCAGGGCAAATACAGGCAGTGATTAAACAAGTTCATAATGACACAGTTTGCTTTGAAGCATGTAAATGGGCCTATGGGTTGGAAACCAAGCACATGTTTACCCATGTTGTAATAGTTAAGCAAGTAAGACAAATGTTCAGCCTATGAAAATAAAAGCTTTTTTCCTACAACAGCTATCATATTTTTTATCTGATAATAGAAGTGATGTGATTGCCACTTGTCTTCAGGTTTGTTTCACATTATCAAGTTTCCCATGAGAAAGGAGAACCTTGCCTTCAGCTGTTAGAGCTGCAGTCAGAAGCTCTTATAAGAGGTTACGAAGCTGTGTTACCATGAAACAGAATGAGAATAGTTACTGCTTACTCTCTGATGCTTGACAGATGGGGCAAAGACAACCTTTTCTGCATATTTGGTATAAAGTTGCTGATTACTTTGGTTGGTGGGTTTACTTTGGTGGGAATTTAGCTTCAGGGATCTGACTTTTTATTGTTGAGCATTTTATGTGATATCTGCAGCTTTTCCATTTAAAATTGCGGTAGCATTTTCTTTCTCTGGACACAAAGAAATTCACTCTAAAAAGAACACTCAGGAAGAAAATATCTAAGCTATGCACATCAATCTGCTCTTTATTCCTTCTCACAGACACTACTGCTGTGTGGTCTGACAATTTATACAGAAATGACTGCCTCACAATGCATAGTTCTCTGATCAAAGAGAAGATCAGCCACTGCCTTGGGTACAATATTGATGAGCACCACCACCTACAGGGTCTGCAACACCCCATGGTGTGCGCTTAGTAGAAGAGAGAGGAAAGACACTGGGTGACAGCGCACCCTCCTACCATTTCCTGTGACAGCCTGTCTCTGCCCAGGACTTGCAGCCTCTCCTTTTCTGGAGGATGTCGATGTCTCTCTTCCTCCAGCTCACTGACTCTCCTCTCTGACATGTCCAGTTTTGTCTTCATTTCTGCCAGCTGAAAAGCAAATAATATACCATGGTGGGCTGTCTGTGCATCCAGAAAGGCACAGCACCCCAAAGGTGCCTCCAAATCCTTTCAACTCTCAGCAGATTAGCGTAAAGGCGTGGATCTGGTTGGGTGCAAAGTGCCCAACCACTTACTCCTCCCCCCAAGCCCTGCTGCTCTGTTTGCAGGGGAGACTCTTAATGATTTAGGGTAGTTTTTCTCATGGTGTTACCTCAGTTGGCTCTAGCACTGATTTTGCTGCCAGAGCACTGCTACCGTGGGACTGTTTCTGCATATGAATTCTCCATTTTTAATGTTCTTTTCCTTTCCCTTTGCAACACGGACTGCCTCGGCACTAGTATACTTCCAAAGCAATCTAGCCAGAGGCATAAAACTGTCCTATATTAAATGAGGAAGAGACATTTGAATTCTCTTTGCACAAAAAAGTCAAGGAAGAAATGATCCAGATCTCAGTAAAACTTACTGGAAGATATTAGAGAAAATTTTCCTGATAAGCACATGAGGTCACTTGGCAAACTTCCTTTTCATAGAAGGAAATAAGAGAAGTGTCAGTTTATGAACCAACTTAATTTTTAGAATACCGAGAAATATTTTAAGCGGCTAGCTTTGCTAGGCAGTTGATTATAATGTCTGCAGCTAATATGCCACAGAGCTGCAAGCAAGGAATGAAAGCTATGACAATGGCATCTTGTCAAAAATAAATAAAAATATAAATAGGTAAGTATTTATTTACCATTTACTTTTTATATTATGAATATTTTAATATATAATTAATATTTTTGTACAGAGCAGTTTCTCAAAGGTAAAAAGTCTCTCTTCTTACAGAAGGTGGCATTCATGGAAGATTTACCTGAGCACTCCCCCATTACAGGGAGCCCTGGTGACTTTCTAGGCTTCCTAATCCAGAGTGAAAATTACCACAAAAGATGGGACAAGAACCAATAGACGTGTGGCAAAGTGAGTCAGTGGCTGGACACACCAGACACTGCAGGATAATTTTCAGGTCATTCTGCTCTGAAGTGTGACCTTGTGGAAGGCATGAACACCTCTGCTGTCATGTCCAGCCCATGGTTCCCTACTAATTTAGACAAAGCTTGCTTGTCTGTTCTCTTGTTATTTGTCTCACTGAAGATTGCAAATACGTAAGCTTCACTTTTATGTAATGTGATTTTATTTCATTTAGGTATTTTACCTCTGTAAGTGAAAGACAAAATACAAAGTAAATATGATGATTGTGCCCACATGCCCACTCAAAGATACTACTACTGCAGCTACAGCTGGTTGGTTTTAAGCACGGATTTAAGCAGCAGCAGACAGCATTCATATTCCAATAGAAGCAGTTAACATTGTTACCTGTTCTTCATAAAGTTGTTTCATAGCTCTAAACTGATGATCCCATTGTTTGTTCACCTCCAGAAGCTGTAATTATCAGGAAGAAGCAGTAAATAACCCTCATTTCAACAATGTCGAGACCTATATATATATATATAAAAATATATATATAATATAATATATATATATTTATATAAAATAATATATATTATTTATTTATATATAACATATATCATATATATAATATATATTTTATATATATATAATATATATAATCTTATATATATATAAGAGACCTATTCTCGAGCTATGAGTGTTCACAACCTCTTTGTTATCTGGACAGTCCCTTTCAAGAATAAGTAAACATGAAATCCAGTGAGCTTTATGGCTCATCTGCCATTTCTTTGTTATTTCAGCTAAGGCAGATGAATGTTCAGGAAGTAACATTCAGGAAAGATGCAAATATAAAATAAACTATAGGTGAATCATTTGCAACACTGTACAAATCCCAAACTGTAATTCCTAAATGGCTAAGGACAATTTTGTTAATTTGCTTTCAGTTACATAAGCATATTTGCAATTAGAAGGTCACCAGCTTCAAAACAATGAATTGAAGACGCCTATCAACTGCAATTACAGCTGGGTGCAAACCCTGCTTGCCTTTTTCAGTACCACTAAACTGAGCAAACGTATGCATGCAAAACAGGGAAGACTGGCAAGCACCATGCATAAAATTGGTATGAGTGAAGTCAGTGTGTGTGCATTTTTATCGGAGAAGGCCAAATAGGTTTCCCAGAAGTACTTTGATTTGTAGGATGCATGTTGACTCTTTAGGATGCTCAGAAATAGAATAGTTTCCAGTTTCCTGCTACCTGTGGTAACACTCCAGTTGCTACTACTCACAGTTATTCCTTAGCCTTTACCACAGTGATCATTATGAAAGTTTGCTGTTTGTGACATATCAATCTCCACCCTTCTGGATTTATAACTGTGTTACAATATTTGGTCAATATTTGTTTTTAGGAACAGTTCTCCAAATTTAACTGCCTAGATATAGGAACTATAGGAACTAATTTAAACACAAGTTTAAGTGTCTGCATGCTTCAGGCTGTGAAGAAATGAGAAGTGGAAATTCTCCAGATAGAAATTTCCTCAAAAGAGTGGGGGATGAGATTTCCAGAGAAGAAACAGAGCTCTTGCTGCACTGCCTGATGAAACCAATTGCTGCTTAAATACAGTGTAAGTAACATTCAATGATTTCCTGGCATGGAAATGTTACTGAATTTGTAATGTCTATCTTAGGTTATAGCTGTAAAAGTTAAGGGTATGTAAACTTAAGATTACCTCTCGTCTCTGCCTTTCCAGTGAGAGAATCTGTTGTTCCAGAGAATTGGCTAATACAGTCTTCTTTTTGGTCAGTAGTACGTGCTTTGACTAGATGAAAAAAAAAGTTCAAAAATGAATACTTCCAGCATCCCCTCTTCAAGTCATGATTATCATATTAAACTCCCATCCGCCCTGCCACCTGCAATGTAAAGAAAGTGACACAGCAATATTTTCTTACAGTGTATTTGCTATCAGTATCTTAACACCTGCTGACAGCAGATTCTGAAGCATACATCTGCTTTAACCCTGCTTAGCCTGTGTTTCAGAGCCATTATGCAAATGGGTGGCAAAATAAACAAAATTAGGCCTCATTGCACCATCTGAGGTATAGAACACAAAATAGGCTAACAAAAAATAGGCTTTTAATTATCTTACAGATGGTAATACAACCAAATAGTAAAAGCCACAAAAGTTGAGCATAAGTTAAAGTGGGCATAAGTAATTCCCTTCGTTTACAAGAACTAGAATAATTAGTAGTTTTGCGCCCGGTAAGTGTTTGCAGGCCTGCAGCAATAATCTTTAGCACAATGGGTTCAAAACAAGCAATACAGAAAATGAATAGGCTATTTGGAGCAATTAGGAAAATCGGTCCAATCTGCAATTGTTTGATTTAACTTGGAGTTTTGTCCATGAAGGACAAAAGCAGCTAAGCCCTCGTTCTTGTAATGGCAATGACAAATATCATAATTTCCCAGAAGTTTCCATGAATTCTCATGAATACAAACATGTGATATATATATATCACAGAATATTTAAGATCACAGACATATAAGATCACAGAATATTTCTACTGTGTCTTTTCATATGCATAAACCCTGGCCACATATTCACCCCCAACCAGTCCTGCAAAGCTCTAATGTTGGAGCACTCAATTTCCATGTCAGAAAATAATCTCTCTTCCTGTAGAAATTCATCAACATGTTTAAATTAAAGTATCTGATAAAATTACATGGTAGTCAGTGGAATTACTCATGTTCAGGATCTGGGCCTTAGGCATATATTTAGGAGCACAGAGAGTCTATTAAAATCAATATGACAACTCGCAAATCTAAACGTTACAAATACATTCAGCAAATTGGTTTGAATGCTGCTCAAAGTTGCTAGATCACTAAAATGAACCACTTTCTACCTTTTGTGTAATAACAAATCAAAGTGACCAGATTACTTTTGGGGGGAGGAAAAAGAGAAGAAAAAAAAGATTTTCTTTCTAAGAATTTCATATCTAAAAATTTGATATCTAAAAATATGTAACATTTCCTTCTACTTTTAAGCAGAATAAATAATTCAGATGATTCTACTGGAACACAAAAATGAGCCTATAATTGTCTGTCTATAAAGTGGCATGTAACTGCACCAGGTGAAGCCATGCCTGCTACACAAACAGCACATCAGAGGAGAGCCAAAACATTCACTTACTTCGAGCAGGTCTGCTGGAGCTTCCATTTCACTCACATCAGCCCACGTGCATCCAAGACGGCCTCGAGCATTTGTTTCACTGCAGGTCTTCGAAAGAGAGAGCAATGAAACAGGTATTTTACATCCCTTAAAGGAGTGGAGGGAAATGCACGAAGACACGGAAGATACACAAGCACTGCCCGTGGAAGCAGCAGAGACTAAAACCTAGGTGGTGGAATTCTGATTTTAACCTTTTCCTCCTTCCTAGCTGGGGCTTCCCAGAATGGTTCAAGCACACTGCCTATGACTAATACACCAGGCAAGGCAGCACTCTGTGTACTCTAGATGCAAATTGCAGTCGACTGGCCAGTTCACCCCTGAGAGAGGAAGTTGCATGTGTAAGGGAAAGAAGGGTACATTTTTCAGTAAATAAGAGGACAGGGTTTTCTATCCCTGTTTCCAGTTGTAGCAAATCACTTATGTAAGTATGACAAGTTTTAAGTGACAGTAAGATAGCATGAACTGCCACCACAGAAAAAGTTAGCGTAGTGAGTCATGCCCAGAAAGGAGCAATAGATAAGCTATGGTGAAGGGGACACTCCTGCAAAAGCCAGGATGTCTAGGGGAACACTGTAACTGGAAAACCAATTTACATTCCTTGAAGAAGAGCTGCACAAAGATGCAGAATGCCAGATTTTGTTCTTCTCTTAAGGACCTAGTACTTGCCATTCTAGTCACTTACCCTACCTGAGCATGGACCTAGCTTTAAGGTGCTTAAGTCTTAATGCTTCAAACTTACGTCTTCGTTCCCCGTTTGGAAAAAGAGGCTAAAGTTGCCAAGTTAAACTCACAGAAAAGATTAACAATTAAAAGGCGTCCACAGATTTTTCACATCCAAAGTGAAGAGAAAAAAAGAAAAGCATGAAGTATTTCTGCCTTCAGCCTTGGATTTCTGAATAGCGATGGATTGGAGAAGGAAACTTGAAAGAAAAATAATTTTCCTTATTGTGGAAAGATCCCTGGGTCTGAGGTCTTTTTTTCAGTGAGGGCAGAAGTTGTTTACTTGCTCTTCAAGAAACAGAATTAAAGCTAGCTTGTGAAGTTTGACATACATAAATCTTCAGAAAATAACATAAAACTTCAGGAGATCTTTAGACAAACTAAAGTAATCCTGGGAAATGGCAGAATTTAATAGCCACATTCCAGATTTCTGGTTCACAATGTGTGACTAAGCAAATCCTGTTTTGCAAAAATAAAAGCCCAGTTTGGAAGAAAGCTACTGTTTTAAAATATTTGCACATGAAATATATCCTCCCTACTCTGATGTTCTTCTTAATTGCTCTCTGTTATGGATAGGCTGAAAAACTTGTGGGTTATAAAGAAAGAAGTTTAAAGACAGATTTTATTTTAGTAGAGGCATTTTAGATTCTACACGGGAGGCATTCTACCCATCAAAAAATAAAACGATTCCATCTGTACCTATACCAAAACCAGCCTTTGAGTACATATCCCTTCCACGTACAGCATTGGTTTAAAGAAGGAAAAAAATATCTAGGTATGGCAGATAATGTAGCAGCAATTCTGGTAATTGCATTTCTTGACATTTCTCCCATGATTAATGTATAGTGAGGAACACATTAAGTGTCATGCTGCAAAATAAACCTCTCCATCACCTAGGAAAAATTAAGTGAAACAGTGAGGCCATCCTCTGGAAAATAGGCAGGTGATAAGGACAACTTCTAATGAATAAACACATCACACTACGTCAGAAAAAGTAGTGATAGTTAAACTGTACAATCCCTGTAGCAGAGAAGAAAGAGGGAACGATGCATTTTAAAAATGAGTCTGAGTATTGTAATGGAGTTATCTAAAGTTTATGTCAAATCAAAGCTTATCCCTAAGGATTTTGAAGCCATGGGCAAAAGTAGGTAACAGCCCTATCATACATATGAGAAAACAGACCAGCCAAGTGTTAAAGGTCATCCAGATGTTAGTGTCAGATCACAGAAGAAATGACATCTCACCCACAACCTGCGGCTGTCACATCCGCTTCTGCAGCATCCATCAGCAGGTTGTCTGCATAATTTGGTGTTCTCACACACTGGAGAGTGGAAAACTATTTTCTGGACTGAAGTTACTGCATATGAAGTCAAGAGTCAGCTGCTGAAGGAGAGGCACTAGACACAAGTGACAGGAACACTACCTTTCACCTTCTCACAATATCCCACTGCCTCCTCCAATGCCTGCCACAGCCCTGTAGATGATAAAGTTGTGGAAATAGAGTCTGACTTGGTCTGTATAGCACTAACACTGAGCAACTAACTGATTCATTAAAACACAACCAGAAAACATCTACATTTCACATCTGCTCACATGGGCAATGATTCTTAAGCCTGGACAACCCCCCTTACTGCAGTTCCTATGGTGAGCACAGTCCCATCCCCATTCCAGCAGCAGCCTAGCTTTTGGGAGAAACAAAGTCCGAACTGCTGCATTGCTCTGGCCTACATGGTAAGACCAGCCCTGGTTACTGAGTTCTTTGACACACCACGCTGTGGGGTGCCATGTGAGGTGCAGTCCCCCCCAGTAGGGACAGAAGAGCAAACTGAAGACACAGCCCTGCTCACGAGTCATGACTCCCACCTGAGAGATGTTGCTGCTCAAATCACTCTGCAGAGAGGTTGAGGATAAGTACCTGAGATCACACAGCTGTTATCATTGATTAGTTCAAAACCTGGAAAGCTGGGTGGGCACTAGGACCCTAAGTCCTTAATTGTTAATACCTTAATGACCCCGTTAACAGCTACTGAGAGTAAATGATTATCTCTTGGACTGGAGGATTTGAAGCTTTCAGAGACTATCATGGGATATTATACCACAGGGCTGTGATCTCAGAGGCTGCAGTAAATTCAACTAATTCTTATTCTTTTGAAGTCCTCTTCTCCCACAACTAATGAAAATATGGCAAATGCTAATATTTTAATATTGTTTTGTGAAAGGTACAGATTTCAGCTGAAGAAGCATCTTGATGAGAGCTGAAATCTCTAAGGATTTTTGACTAATTGCACCCTGTATATTCACATTAAAAACAGTGACAAATTTTCTTGCACCATCTTCCTCTTAGCTATTGCTTTCCACCACAGGGATATTATTCAATATGACAAAACAGAACTGACATCAATTACTTTTCAGTATGTAGCTAGGCAAACAGCGTTCATACAGATAATGCTAGTGCTCCTTCAGACAGTGCGTAAAGTCAACTGCCTTTTAAGAGATTTATAGGAAATCTATCCAGCTCAAGGGTTAGAACGTGACGCTAAAGAGCAATGGTGCTGTTCAGTTGTGTGAGCAGCTTGGTGGGAGATAGGTATCTTGTTCCCTCCCTCGCAAGTGTTTTTCAGTTTCAGTTAGCACGTAAGAACAGTACTATGCCATGGAAAGAGAAGGGTTTATCTAGAACCTGTAAGAACAGAAGAAAAGCCAATGAGTAGGGAACAAAAATTCAAGCTCTTCAGAAGTGCTGGTCTTCTTCCAGTTAAACTTGGGAGAGGTCGAAGTAAAGATGTTGTCTCCCTCTGGAGGGAAGTGATTCTCACCCTCTACTCTGCATTCATGAGACCCCACCTGAAGTACTGTGTTCAGCTCTGGGGCCCCCAGCACAAAAATGGACATAGACCTGTCAGAGAGAGACCAGAAGATGGTCACAAGGATGACTGAAGGGCTGGAGCACCTATCCTTGTGAAGACGGGTTGAGAGAGCCGGGGTTGTTCAGCCTGGAGAAGAGAAGGCTCCTGGAAGACCTTATAGCAGCCTTCTAGTACCTAACCAGGGCCTACAAGAAATACAGAAAGGGATTCTCTCAGGGATTCTAGTGATAGGACAAGGGGGAATGGCTTTAAACTAAAAGATGGTGTATTTAGATTAGATCTAAGGAGGAAATTTTTCACTCAGGGGGTGGTGAGGCCCTGGCACAGGCTGTCCAGAGAAGCCGTGGCTGCCCCATCCCTGGAGGTGTTCAAGGCCAGGCTGGATGGGGCTTTGAGCAACCTGGTCTGGTGGTAAGTGACCCTGCCCATAGCAGCAGGGCTGGAATTAGATGATCTTTAAAGTTCCTTCCAACCTAAGCCATTCTATGATTCTATGACATTCATTTTCTTTTGCTGAGTGAAAGCCACTGAATTTATTTACCAGTCTACTGCTACACTACTAAGAACAACTTATTTGCATGATAATACTACAGAAATCTGACACATGTATAACACCAACCCTTGAAAGAAGGACTCTTCTGACAGCTATCATATTTTGGAAGAAAAAAAAATATTTTTAATGCATTTATAACAGGTTTGAAGTTGTTGAATCAAATATGCAATTGTAAATTGTTTGGAAAAGTCTATTTTAAGACCAGACAGTACATGCAGTCACAAAACTAAACATAAGGAGACTGTTTACAAATCCTAGCAATCTTTTAGAATGCTCTTAAAATTTGCCAGCCTGCAAAATATAACCAGACCAGCTAACGGCTTAGGAGTAAAATTTGACCTAGCGCTACACAGCCACAGAAAGCTCAGAGATGGCAAAAAAACAGCTGAAGAGGGTGTCTGGACTCAAATGGGACTTCAGAGGCAGGCAGGACACCCTACCACATATGTGCCTGGCATTGGCTTGCAAATAGCACTCTAACACTGCAGTAAAGGGTTTACAGGGGGAAATCTAGTCACTTGGAGTCCGTGCAATTAAAAAACAGATTTTACTGTGGTGAAATCATTCCTACTTCAGCTATATGCAAAATTCACTAAGTGTGATGTTACAGCAGTGACAAACAGGTCAGCAAACGTTACAAATCCCAATCTAACGCTTACATGAATCTTAATTTCCCAGATTATTTCATCTCTTCCTCTCAAGTAAGTCTGTGTCATATCATTTACTGGCCACACTCAAAGATCACCAGAAAACAGGGAAGAGTCTCTGAGTGGAGAAATACAAACTTAGTAAACTCTCACAATATTTCTGCCTCCAACTTCTCCACAAATACATGTAAAACCAAATCACCACCAGCAGTGGATTGCGTCAAGTAACTTTTTACAATCTCCCCAGGGTACAATTGCACA